GGGTGGCAACGCGCGTATTCTCGCTCATCGTTTAAAACTGTGATACTCAGCCAACGAAGTTCGGCAGCGAATTGAGAATTTTTGAAAAATTTACTGGGGCGCGCTTTCTGACCCCCTCGCTTGAACCCAAGTGCGCTCTCCCACAGAACAATTCCGAACTGCAAATTAATTTTTGAACTACAGAAAAAAAGTTTGGCGCGATCACAATTGCAGGTCTAAAACCATAATTTCAGAATTTTTTATCTGATTTTGTGGAGTTCCAAGATGTTTCTAATTATTCTTAAAAAATTAATTAGTGATTATAGACTCACGTATGGTCGTTTTCCGGAAGAAAAAATGTCAAAAATGGTCATTTTTGAAAGTTTTTTACAGAAAAAATCTATCTCCTCTTTCAGTTTTTGACATTTCTAGGAGTTCTATAGCTCAAAAAACCGGCAATTATTTTCTCTACATTTTCTATGGATGAATTTTTAATTCGTCTGATAAAACCTGCAATTGTGATCGCGCCAAACTTTTTTTCTGTAGATCAAAAATTAATTTGCAGTTCGGAATTGTTCTGTGGGAGAGCGTGCAATAGGATAAGCTATTTTCTTTCATTATATTGATTTTTCAAGAAAACAAACGAAAGTTGCTCCGCTGACAGTTAAATAACTTTCGTCGTTTTGACTTAACGCGGAAACCTGGAACACTTCAAAACACATATTGTCGGGATTATAAAACTGCGACCTGCGGTGTAAGCAGACTCAGTGCAAAACACTCAATTTTTGTACTGAGCCTGCATACACCGAGGTCGCAGTTTCATAATTCCGACAATAGATGCGAGTTATCCCTCTCAAATCGCAGTTCATCATCAGTGATCATCAGTGACAACGGACACTTTTGTTTTTTGAATAGCAACAGAATAATTATTAAATATTTGAGATACCAGATATAGAACTTTATATGATAACAGTGAGCGAACCTGAACACCGCCCTTTATATGATTTATTTTTGAAATAATCAAGAATAGCCAAATAAATAAGTAATGATGAAGGTAATGGGTTGATAGTAAGTAAAACATCGATTACGGAAGAGCGGAAAGATTGATTTTGAAAACCACTTACAGACTATTGGGATCAAAGAAAACTTTTCGGAGAATGGAATGACATTTATAAATTAGAACGGGGTGGAAATAAAACTTAGGGAACAAGTTTCTCGATAGAGTTCATGCCAATGATCAGAACTCATATTAGAGATTTTAGATCGAAATTTGGGGTTGGCGAACGTTTCTCACATTACTTTGTGTCCAGCACTTCGAATGGGAGAAATATGGGTACGAATAAAAAAGGCCGTCAAAAAGAATGAATGATTTGAACGGGGAATATGCGCTTCAGAAGATAATCCAGTATACATTAGGTGAGATCTGAACAATTCAGCGGGAGAAGCATGATTACCAAATCAGAGAGATTATGATGATGAGACAAAAAAAGGTATTAAAATTTGATCGTTTCCAAATATTTTGCAGTGTTTAGTGACGGGTACGATGATGCAAACGGTACGGATCAAACTTCGGATGACCAGCCGCATCAGGAGCACGACTCAGGATTATGGTCTTGAATAGATAAATGTCTCTCAAAGAACAAAATAACTTTCTTACTTGAATGACCCATTCCGAAGTGACACGTTTAGCATTAATTTCTGATGCGTATTCCATGACTTCCTCTCGGAACGTTCCATCGACCAGAGCCACATCAAACATCAACTTAGACTCGCGAAGAGTTTGCCAATCGGCGTCCACGACCGTAGCTCCGAGCAACTCGAGAATAGGTTTCCAGATTTCAACGAATGTCCCGCCAAGTCCGGCTTGAGTGACTTCACGTACAGAATGAGTCGAGTGTACATAGATAGTGATTCCTTTGAGCAGTTCCGAAGGATTTTTAGGACTTGAAAATTATGATATGTATTTTCAACAAGTATTATCACTTACGCTGGCATATCACGACAATCATCGAAGATTGACGCACCCGCAGGAAGGACATAGTCTGTATAGTCAAGACACTCTCCTTTTTCAGCACAAGCTTGCAACCATGTAGTACTAACACACGGGGTTCCTCGGGCCAACGCTGCCAGATATTTATGAGTTCGATAATATGTATCAGAAATGAGAAGCTGTTCGTGGCTTCCATCGTTCTCCTGGAAGTTCTTAAAAACAGGGTTTCTGTTTGAAACGACATTTTCACTTACATTCAGTTTTTCTGTGACTATTCCTCCATTATTGGCAATGAAAGCCATAAGGTTTTTTTTCCTCAACATAGGTGGAACGTTTTTACCCTGTTCTGAACGATTAGCAGAGGTGAGCATGAACACTTTTCCAGCGAAGATATTTTTCCCGATCGCCTCTGGTTTCATCGGTAGTGTTTCGTCTTCATCAATAGGACTTTCAGATGCACCTCTCGACGATGCAACTTCATCATCCTTCTTCTTACGGCTTCTTGGTTTGCTGAGTTGGGATACGAAAGTTGATTTGCGACGAGTCGCCTCCGATATGGTTGTGATGTTGGACTTCATGATGGCGGTCGCATTTTGTTCCAAATTTTTAACGTAATCTCGCCATTCGCTTTGATCAAACGATACCTCCTTCCAATCAACATCTTTGCGAACTTCTGTTGGTTCCCCTTCAGAATCGAGGACTGTGATTTTCAATATTCCTTTTGACCATTCCTCTGCGCTGATATCGTTTGGACCAGAGTCTAAGCGAACCTCGTCATCACCAAGAGATGCGGTTTTTCCAGCGACCAAAGCACGAAGTGGAATGATTCCCGAGTTCGGAACGTCTTTCACAACTTTATCAGCGGTGAACTGAAGTTTGTAACGCCCGAGACCGTCTCTCTCAGAAAGTATAACGGCTGGGTAGAAAGTTTTTTGAAAAATAGCGTAAACACGGGCTCCTGGTGCATGCGGCTCGTTTACATCTTGAGGGTGGTCTACAAGTAGTTGTTGCTCATCATCCAATACTTTCACCTCAACGTGCTGATCTCTCTTTGCAGACGGAGGTTGTAATTCTGACAAATCGCTCTTCCTTTTTCTGGACCGATTTGACGTGTTTGCAGTATCATTTGAGTTCGACTCTGGAGCTTCATCCATCCCAATTTCATTAACCTGCGTTTCCTCTTTCTTGGCTCTTGACTTTCTCCCTCCTGTTCCTGGTGCTGCTCTTTTTTGTTTTTCTTTTCCGGGGGTCATATCGGCGAGCGATCTTCTATTTTTCTCAGTGGGAGAAGCTGAAAGTAAAACGTAATAATATTGGAATTATACAGCAACAGTAATGAACAGCCGTTGACGGGGAAACAAAAAGTATGCATAAGACCAATAAGCGATTTGTAGTACCCATATATGTACTTTTAAACTCACTCTGCAAATCAGCAACTCGGGACTCAGCCGCTTTCTCGGTCATTGAATACTTTGATGATGATTCACCCGTCTTTGCATACTTCACAGAGCCAAAGCTTTGAACCTCCATCTTTAAAAAAAGGAGAGATATGAATTATCAAAATAGATTTATATATTTACCTGAATATTTTTCAATGGTTCTGGATGATGCTCCATCTCAGTATCGATGTCATATGGATCATGGACATCTTTTTTCGAGCTCGAAGATGGTGCAATCTTCCTCTTGCCTCCTCTTTTTGCAGAAGGGGTTTCTGTGGATTCTGCAGCATCTTCATCCATATGTTCCGTTATCGACGCTTCTTTCTTTCGTCCGCGAGCCGGAGTTCGTTTGTTAGTAGCTGGTGTTGCTGGAGTCGCCTTAGCAGGCGCTTTCGCTCTCGTGGATCTACGGGAAGAAGTGGTTGGTTCGGAACTCTCAGTTTCTGCTACTTCAGCCTCATCAACTGCTTCTTGTTCCACAGCTGCTCGCGATGTAGACTTTCTCGTTCTCGGAGTCCGAGTAGATGATCCGTCTTCAGATTCCTTGTCATTAGGAATAGCGGATTGATTATTTTCGTCTTCATCCACGTCTGCCTTTTTGCCTCTTCCTCTTGTTGAGCGCGGTGTTTGCGTAGAAGGCATTGAACGTTTTCCACGACCTCCTCGTTTTGGAGTTGCTGCCTCTGGTTGGTCACCATCCACAATGTCTTCTGCAACAGGTTCGGGATCTTCGTTCTTCCCTGTTGAACGTCGCGATCTTTCGGGCGTTTTGGGCGTTTCGCTGACTTCACTTTCCTGTTCCGCAGAATTCGCCGTTTTTGCAGATCGTCCACGACGTACTGGCGTTTCGGTGTCTTGCGAAGATCCGTCGTTGCCTTTTGCAAGTGACTGGCGACCCCTACCACTGCGCTTGGTAGCCGAAGCATCTGGATTCGGAGTGACATCTGACTTCCTTCTGGAACGACTACTACGAGCAGGTGTAGTTGGCCCTTCATCGTTAACAGTTGTATTGGCACCGCTATCATGCTCATTATTTCCATTGTTGGTTTCATCTAGAGCTTCCTGAGCTTCCTCAACTTCCGTAGTTGGAGCTTCTTCAGTTGATTCATCAGCAACAATTTCATCATCGCCATCCAAATGATTTTCTGGTTGTTCTTTTTCAGCATCATCGTCAACGATCGGTGAAGGAGAACCGTTTGGAGTTGATACAACATGAGAACCGTTTTGTTCTGAAGGCTCCTCTGGAGTTGCGCCGGATGGCTCTTCTTTGCATACTGAATTTTTGGCTATTTCCGTATCAGATACATCAGCTTCATCGGCTACCGAGGCTTCCGAACTTTGTTCCTCAGACTTGTCTTCATCGTCATCAACTACAGCTCTCTGAAATTTAGGTAATGGATATTCTGCTCAAACATTTCAAAGATAACACCTTAGCCTTTTTCTTGGGAATTTCTTCTTCCTCTTCTTCTTCATCAATTTCCTCATCAGTCTTATCTTCGACAGCCTCGCCAGCAAGAGCTTCATCGTTTGTGTCGACTTTATCTTCATCGCCATTCACATCCTCCTCTTCCATTTTGGTTTCTGGAGACTCAGAAGCGTCCGGTTCGTGGACACCGCCGGCGGCTGCACTCGTATCCATGCTGATTGTTTTTTTCTCAAAAGATTCATCGTTCGGTTGTTCTATATCTTCAAGGTTCTGAGGCTCGCCCTGGTCCATTGATTCATGTTCTTCGGTAGCACCACAGAACGGTGATACTGGTCTCTCCGGAAGTAATGGTGAAGAATCATCGACAAACTCCTTGTTTTCAGAAGTTGATCCCGGTACAGGTTCCTGATATTTGGCTCAGTTATATTGTAATAAATTAAGTTATATACTTACAGTCAGAACAACAGAATTCCCAAAAAGGCTTTTACTTTTGTCCAGAACGGTTTCCGTAGACGGTAAACTGAAATAAATAATATCAGTTTGTTTTCGCACTAACAATCCCACCTTTCCTCCTTTACATTGGAACTTGCATCATCAAGCTCTGAAAAGTGAAAATTGAAGCAAAAACTATCATTTGTTCTGTGAAATGTTGTTTCCTCAATATGGTTCAGAACCCGGTATACAATTGAATGGTTAAACTCTGATAAACGGTTTCCAATCAGATTCGGAAAACGCGTTTTTCAGACTTGAGAAAAAATGTCGTCTTTCAGCCAGATCTAGCCCGTTTAGCTTCGTTCTTCCTTCCTCGAATCTAATTAGAAATCGATTACCAGCGAAGCCACTTATTTATACGGATTTTCCCTTCAAAATTATTACCCAGTGTGTTGTTTGTTGACATATCCTTTCAACAGAAGTTGTTTTATCCTGTAATAAAATTGTTTTTCAAGACGATTTCCCTTGATAAATTGTAAATTGCAGAAAAAAGTACAATTTGAAGAAAAATAACTGTCAAAAATCCAATTCAAACGCCCGCCCCCGTTGCCAAAAGTGATCTCAATGCTGTCGAGTGCGTCGCGGTCGCGTCTTGAGTCGCTACGCAGCGAATGATACGCAGGTTACACAGTATAGTTTGAAGCAAATGCCTCATTTTTCTCTTTCCTAAACAAATTTTCGGGTTTTTTTCAAATTTTTTGAATAAAATTTCGCGTTTTTTGCACTAGAAAATTAAATATGGAGATTTTATATGTTTTCAGCGATTACTATCGCTTATAAGAACAGTGAAATATAAGTTTTATCGACTTCCGAATTCCTTAGGGGGTTATTCATGACATGGAATATGTTTATTTCGTGTTTTTAAACACTTATGCATGCGAAAAAAATTATTTAATGTGTTAAATCATGAATAACCCAATCTGCTTCGCGTGTAATCGATTCCTATATTAATTTCTTAAATTTCAGGTAAAATGACGAGAGCGACCTCCATCAAGGACGTCGACCAGCACGAGGCGACCAAGTCCATCGCTCACTTCTTGAAGAAGAGTGGAAAGGTCAAGGTTCCAGAGTGGTCCGACCTTGTCAAGCTCGGAGTGAACAAGGAGCTCGCCCCAGTTGATCCAGATTGGTTCTACACACGCGCTGCCAGTCTCGCCCGCCATCTTTATTTCCGCCCAGCTGGTAAGCGGTTACTTTTCTGTCATACCATAAAAAATTTTCTACAGGAATTGGAGCTTTCAAGAAGGTCTACGGAGGAAACAAGAGACGCGGAGTCGCCCCAAACCATTTCCAGACTTCGGCCGGAAACTGCCTCAGAAAGGCTGTTCAGCAACTCGAGAAGATCAAGTGGGTTGAGAAGCACCCAGATGGCAAGGGAAGAATCCTTTCCAAGCAGGTAAATTTTCAATTCAAGTTTTCATGGTTTTTATCCGGAAAAATAATGTGTGCCAAAAATATCTTTCAAAATATTTTCCCCCATAACTGCAAAACTATGGTAGAAATCTTCACCTACTGATTCTCAACCTTTTGATTATGGGTTTATTCGTGAATCGTTTTTTAAAAACAGGAAACAAATTTTCGCATCTCTGAATCGATTTCAAAAACGAAAACAAATCATGTCATGAATAACCCCTTCATGAAAATATATTATGAAAAACAGTTCGCGTCTTAGTGGTTTTCTTTTTCCAGGGACGCAAGGATTTGGACAGAATCGCCACCGGCCTCAGATCCTCGGGACAACAAGCCTAAACACTCCTTGTTTGTGTTATAAACGTTGTTATTATTACTCTGTTAGATACAAAACAAAATGTTGCAAGAGAAACGTCGGTGATCGGGGCCACAGGTCCTAGAATTACTAAAGTAGGCTGAAATAATGAGTTTTTTCCCCTGTATTTACCAGTTGCAAGCGGGCCGGCTGATAACTTGATCCTAGAACGAGATATTTGGAGGGTTTGGTGCCAAATGATCTATCACGACAGGGACCATTACGCCTATATCATTCGAGCCGGATTCCATTCCGGTAACATGCCGCAACCTGACTTTGAATGACAATTTTCTAACAACTTAACAAAATAACAGATTTTTTGTCATTCAAACGCATTTTTGACATGTTATCGGACCGAGACGCCTCGAATTTTGTAGGCGTGTTGGGGGTTTAGTTCATTTGGTACCAAAACCGTCTGAATATCACATTTTAGAGACAAGTTATCAGCCGGCCCGCTTGCAACTATGGTATTTATTATACATGTCACGGCACCCCAGCGAAACAAATGGGGAAAAATCGCGAAAGCGCGCTCTGCTGCTAATACAGTACCTTGTGCACAAGCTTGTGTCGATTTACGGGCGCCAAGAAATAAAATTTGCACTGAAAATCGCATTTTCTCGTTATAAAAAAAGTTCTAGCTTTGTTTTTCGAAATCAATTCAATAACAATTGTAGCCTGGGTCATTCTCCATCTAAAAAGTCCAAAATGTTGCATGTAGGTGCTTCCTAGGAAAAGTTATTAGAGCTCGAAAAACCCGATTTTCGAATTTATTTTCAGAATCACATAGTTTATAATTTCAATGACGATCGTTCGAATTTTTCTACTTAATATTGATCCTACTACGCTGAAAATCTGTTTTTAAGGGCTTGGAACGTGTCGTCGCCTATATTTTTCCCTTATTTGGTAACTGCAGACACAAACGTTTGGGCACACAAAAATTTCATTTTATGACGAATTTTCAAATAAAAAAAAGAAACAATGACAAGAATAGATTATCAAGCCCTCCAATCCCTCCATAGTTCTCATTTTCTCGCTCCAGAAACCTGTAAAAATTCGGCGGAGAAGTATTATCTGGTCATGAGCGACTAACCGCACTCATTGTTATTGAAAAATCGTCGAAAATGAACGGATCCACTGTTCAAGCCGAAAAACATTGGTGGAATCTGAAAAAAGATATCTGAATGTCAATTTTAGGAAAATCAGACCGAAAAAAGATAAAAAAGGCAGAAATTCTTGCAAAAAATGATTCATGTCCAAATCAATTTAAAAATTGATGCGAGAGAGTACGAACCTCTTGAGAGACGCAGTCAACGATGGTTAACTTGTTACCTGCAACTTAGCGTGAAGCGCGTCAGCAGCTACTTTGCGCGTTGCGTCGCTGGGGTGCCGTGCATGTCGCGGGCCGGCCCGTTGGGGGAATATTCACTGGCCCGAATTTCCGAGGGAAATTTTTATCGAAATTTCTTTATTTTCAGCTTTAATAAGGGTCCTGGGCTAAATTCCGTACTTTAAAATGAACATTTTGAAAAAAGATGCAACAAAAATCAATTGAAAAATTTTAAAATATTCGGAACCCGGGCCGGGCCGAGAAAATTTTTCTTCAATCGGGCCCTGGGCCAACCCGGGATTAAAGGGGGACTCCGACCAAAAATTTTTATTGCATTAAAATGTGTTAAAAGTTATCTATTTTCCGAATATTATTGCGAAAAAATTCAAAAAAAATCCGAAATTCCCAAAAAACGCCGTTGAAAAGGAAGAAAATTCAAAAAAAGGTGCCGCCGGGGGACGAGGGTTTTCAGTGAGAAACCTAGGCCACGGCAGCGGGCGCCTTTCCTATGTGGCAAATTTTCCGGATTTTTTTCAATTTCATGTCCGGCAGGTAAAAAACGTAAAAAATCACTGTCGGCGACTTGAAAAAAAGGCTGTCAGGTGCCGTGGCCTAGGTTTCTCACTGAAAACCCTCGTCCCCCGGCGGCACCTTTTTTGAATTTTCTTCCTTTTCAACGCCGTTTTTCGGGGATTTCGGATTTTGAAAGGGAGGAGCTCTCTATTATCAACAACAAGAACCCCAAAGAACTCTTCCATTTCGTTAAATCTAGACTCCGTCCCCCGCACTGTCCCATTTCTCTCCTGATTAATGGCACCTTATCCTCAGACGCTTCTGAACTAGCCAACGAATTTTCTTCCGTCTTCCAAGAGGCCTTCTCGCCCCCAAGCCCTCCTTTCTCCGCCCTCCCTGCTATCGCTCCCTTTGCCGTCTGTCCTGATTTCTCTCCTCTAAATATTGCTAAGCACATCGGTTCTCTACCCTCAAAAGTCGGTTTCTCCCCGGATTTTATCAACTTCCTTGTAATCAAAAAGTGCAGTGATGCGATAACCATCCCTCTTTCGCTCATCTTCCAAGAATCCTTCTCCTCCGCCAAATTTCCTGAGATCTGGAAGCACTCGGTTGTTAGCCCAATATTCAAGAAGGGATCCAAATATGACGCTAATAACTACAGACCCATAACGCTCACTCATGCACTTTCCAGACTCTTCGAAAGATTAGTCCTCGAAGAGCTAAAGCGTGTTATCGGTCCGAGTATTTCTCCGAATCAGTACGGATTCGTCAGTAAGCGATCCTGTGTTCTAGCCGTCCTTGAGTCCACTTCCAAAATACAGAAAACGTTAGCAAATAAGCAACAATTCGTAGATGTTATTTACTTTGATTTTCGCAAGGCATTCGACACTGTCCCATACAATCTCTTGCTGCTGAAAATGAGGCGTATAGGTATTGATGAACGATGCTGCGTTTGGTTCGAGTCCTTTCTCAGCAACCGCTCATCCAACGTCAAGGTTAATGGCCTAATGTCAACCAGCGAGATTGTTGTCAAATCCGGAGTCCCCCAAGGAAGTGTCACTGGCCCTTTTTGTTTCTGATCTACATTAACGACTTACTCGGCCTCTTTCCTCCCAATGTTCATGTCACGGCGTTCGCCGACGACCTAAAAATAACCGGTTCCGACCCATTGGATATGCAGAGAAGTATCGAAATCGTCGAGCACTGGTGTGACATCTGGAGACTCAAACTAGCCGAAAATAAGACGGCCGTTATGCATTATGGTAAACGCAATCCTAAGACAGTCTACCTTATCAAGGGATCCCCCATTACTCCGCATCGCTCATTCAAGGACCTAGGTATACTAGTTGATGATCAACTTCAATTCGACAAACACATCAATCTTATTGCCTACTCTGCTAAACTCAAGTCCCGCCAAATACTGAAAACGTTCCAATCGAAAAACCCTTGTTTATATTTCCGTCTCTTCGACACCTACATTAGACCGGTCCTCGAATACGGTTGTGAACTTTTCGATCCATCCAATGCCACACTTGCCAATAAACTAGAATCTCCTCTTCGTTATTTCACCAGAAAAGTCTTCCAGAGATGTAATATGCCCTTCAATTCATACACCGATCGCCTATCCCAGTTCTCTATGCTAACCACCCTTCATCGCCGCACCCTTCTAGTTCTTCGTATCTATCACAAAATTGTTATAAACTCATACCATTTTCCCTCTATGTCGTCCTACATTCTTCCCAGCCATTCTAACAGAGCCCCGTATTCGTTCAAAATCAACGGTCAATACTTTGACTGCTTCCTTCACAGAAACTTGTCTATGTGGAACCGTGTATGTAAGGTGATAAATTCTAAGCTCGGTCCGGTGGCGTTTGCTAAGCGAGTAGGAGCGATTCCTTATGATATTCTGATCCCTCCCACTTGACCTACAGGACTCTAGTCGGTCCGTCTGGTCATTTTACTTCTTTTATTTGTACAGTTCCCATTTCTTGCCAAATTATCTATCTATTTCCCCCATGCATTTCAAATAAATATATATATTATTATTCTTTGAATTTTTTCGCAATAATATTTGAAAAATAGATAAATTTTAACACATTTTAATGCAATAAAAATTTTTGGTCGGAGTCCCCCTTTAAGCAAGTATGGTATTTACTTAGCTTTTGGTTTTTTTTTCTCCGAAACAAGATGGGGGAAGAAACATCTTCATGATAGGAAATTTGAAACAAAAAAGCGTTTTCTGTGTAAAAAACTTCATGTTAGCATAAGTAATTATTGCAATTCAGAAGTGGTCGCATAGTTCATATCACAATTTTTCAAACATGCGAAAGCCGGAATGATGGATAAACAATATAATGTGTAACATTTACAGTGAAGGGAAGTTGGTTAATGATAATATTGTCTATTCAAAATAATCGCGCGGATGAACGAGTAAAAAAATGTGTAGAGAGTCTCCAAACCGGTAGAGGTTTACTCGCGCGATTATTTTGAATAGACAATACTTGGTTTGCTGGTTTTACTTCTTTTGGGTTGACGACTTCTTTTGTTCGACGAGCAAGTGAAGTTCACGACAGAATGATGGATTCCGAATAGCAGTGAAGTGGATACTGCTCTTCGTCAGTTGCACCAATGCAAACGCTCCGTAGGTACTCGTCGGTCCATCAAACTCGAAATGCTTATCAACGCTGCACAGGGAAAGCTTTCTCTCGGAACGTTGTCTTTTGTCTGTCGCCAACAGACGCGTCATCAAGAAAACCTCCGCGCCATCCTTTCTTGCAGCTTCGGCGAATTCTTCGGTACTGAAACTCAATCGGTATTTCTCAACAAAGAAAAAAGACAAACACACAATTGCTCATGATTTCCTTCCAAGTCATTCGTGATGTCCCACCCTCGAAGATCCTTGATAACTACGCCATAGTTTTGCTCGAAACTGGGATCCAGTTGGATAGTGACACGCTCCAAACGATGACCCACTTGCCCGTCCATCCACTGAGTGAGGAATGCAGCAAGCTCCGTCGTTTGAAGTCTGTTGCGACGCAAGTTCACTTCTCCCAGAGAACTCATTTTCGACAAATCGGAAAGAGGATTCTCGAAGTTTCCATCGATAGTCAGCTTACGAGCCCAGAAAATCGGATGGTCGCATGTAGAAATCACATCAGCCCAAACAGGCATATTGCGTTCTTCCAACGGAACAATGTAAGGCATTGCTTCGAGAGTTGAATCACTTCCTGTGTAGTTTCTCAAAAGAGTAACTTCTGGAATCGTACTCATCGTGTCGATTTGGCTCATCCACCATTGCGTAGAACTTGGAGAATTGTGAACAATTCTCAGCATCCGAACGTCATTGAATTTTTTGTTCAGTTTGTAATTCTGAGACCACAGTTTCACATCGATATCGAGCTCGTCGGCAAGATTCTCCTCGTGGTCATTGATGAAGTTTATGAGTTTTTCCGCAGTCGAGTGAATGTATTCTGTGTTGCCAAGCTCAATTCTAGTCGTCTGGAGGTTCTTCGAAGCTGTATTGGCACTTTCTCTTGTGTCCGATTCTTCGACGTGCTTCATGTATCTACAAACAACAATTACTATAAATACTGGATAAGAAGAGCACTTACGATTTGCAAACGTATCTCTTATCCTCCGTCTTCCAAAACTCGAAGACGTGAAGCTGATACTGCTTGAAGTGATGAGCATCTTCGGAAGTTTTCGTGACAATCACACCTATCTCGGCCCGATATTTCAAGTAGGATTCGTTCTTCGGACCAGTGACAATATCGTTTTCCTGCACGTTTGCTTTTTGAGATTCAATTTTGACCGAAGTGACCATCGACTTGGAATTGATCCACTTGCGGAAGCGATGGTTGAATTTTGACAATTTAGCTTTTTTTTCATCGGCGAACCCGTCCAGATACAAAACTTTCTTGTAAATCGGAGCATCGAACCACTTCTTGTAGCTTTTGAGAGTTTGAAGTTGGCCTGCGCAATCCGATGACTGAAAATCAGAATTATGAACCATTTAGAGCCGTTTAAACTGTATACCTTCTTCTCGCATATTATCTTGAAGTCCTCGAGGAACTTTGCACGTGGTGTGTTCATCAGATGGTGGTCTTCAGTCATTCTTCGATGAGCGACGATAGGAACGAATGAAAATTTTGAGAAAAAATGCGGCTCGTGGAGTCATGACCAAAAAAAAAAGAAAAATTGAAAAATTGGCGCTTTATAAACAATAGATCAATTTTTTTTTGATCGGGTTGAGACTCGGAATAAAAATTATGTTTACACTCCTTTAAAGAGTACTGTACTTATAAAACCCAATGTCGAAAACTCTCCCAATTACTTTTTCCGAGAATCGTAAATCCGACTTTTTCTTCGACTTGTCGGAAAAAAAGGTTTTTGGCCTTCAATTGAGGCGAGCGACTTAAAAACGCTACTTCTTAATATAAAACAATTATAATAACAAAGAGGAGGAAAAACTAATTTGAGCAAGACGAAGAAAATGAATTCTTTGGTTTAGCTTATCGGTGAACTTTCGGATTTTTTTCTCTCTTATCAGAAAAAAAAACTCGGAGAATCCTCTGTCGGATAAATTGTAAAAAAATCTCGGAGAATTTCTCCGAAACTATCCGGAAAACTCATATAATTGGATATCCGATAATCCGACTCCGACCAAGCCTGATTGAACCAAGAAAAAAATCATTGTAAATATATGATCAAATAGGAAAACATAGGTTCTTCGAACAATAATTTATTAAATAAACTTTCTGACAACTTAATAAATAACGAAGCCTATAGAAATATGAAAATCGAGAAAGCGCACAAACATTGTTTTCAAACAACAAGGTAGATAAAGAAACAACTAGAAATGTGAAATGGAAGAAAATTAAGTAGTCACTTAGAATATCGATCTACGGATGGCGGAAACTGCTCCCTCTACGGATTTTTGAGAGTGTGTGGCAATCTGAAATCGACTTTTGGCTATGATTCAATAGATGAGACAACTTACATAGTAGAACACTGAGAGATACCCGAATACTCCAGCAGCAATTACAAGTTCGAACACTGCAGGTTTAACGCGTTCAGCGACAAGGCGGTTTTGAGTGATTCCGAACGTTTTTGCGTCCGTGATTGTGACTGCCGATTTGAAAACTTGACCGTATGCAGCTGCCACCGAAGCCAAATTAGAAACGACACTTTCTGTAGCATGTCTGTCTCCAACTGGTCGTGGTCTTGATGCGAACTGCCGGATGAAGTGATGAACACGTTGCTTATCGATGGCATCCTTCGATAGCATACTCACTTCGGATTTGATTCGTGAATCAGACGATGGACCAGCTTCTGGAAGTCCCAAAATGTATCCAAGCACACTTTCAGCAATCAATCGAATGTTATCCATAAGTTCTTCTTCGTCGAGAGTTGATGGAAGATCCAAAATAGAGTTGCGAGCTGGATCTGAAGGCGATGCCAACGTAGACAGAGTGACGGCTGGCATTCTTTTGATGTTAAATTTCTCGTGCTCCCATGCACTGGCAGTTGTCAATGAAATTTTCTTTGTGACCAACTCGGTTTTCTTGTTTGGAGCGAGTTTACTGAAATAAATTATATTGGCATTTGGTTTTCAGATAAAAAATTACTTGAGCCTTTTGAAAAGTTGAGCAGCAGCGGAGTTCTCAGATGGTGTTTTACCGGCGTGCATGTAGAGTCCGTCAGTTTTACGACCAATTGATTCGATGCAAATAGCAAGATCAATACGATCGTCTAAAGCTGAATTTATATAAAGAGAAACTATCGAAAAATCTTTACCTTTTCGATTAAGTCCAGAATCCAAAAAGTCAGCTCCTTCAATGCCTTTCTGGAATTCATCAATCCAGTGTCGTGTTCCTTGATAATTGAGCTTTCCAGCAGCAGTCCAAATGAATAAAAGGTTGTACGGAGGACGGGTACTTGGTGTGTCGTAAAACTTTGAGAGTACTGCGAGCAATTCTAACAGAGCAACGATTCCTGATCCATTCGAATCAGTACCAGTAGAAATGCCTGGAACAGCAGAAGATGTATCGTAGTGAGCAACAAACGCAATCGAAAGGGAAGCTCTATCTCCACTGCTCAATCTTCCCTGAAAATGCTCGCTAAATAAACTTCTTATATATTTGTTGAGCAACGCACCACAACATTAGATGGCTTGTAAGAGTCTGGGAGTTCTGGAATTTGGTCCGATGAAGTAATACTGATAGTGTTTCCGGAGAGTGATTGAATCAGTTGTTGGACAGCGCTGGGAGCTTTCTCAGCTCTAGTGCTAACGTCATGGAGGATTGAAGCTGCATCGTCGTTGTGTGGAGCGACGTATACAGCTAAATCAGTTTTGACGTTCAAAAGTTTGACTTCCAGATCGAGAAAAGCTTTTCTGTCAATATCATTCAGCTCGTCAATATTGTCAGGAATGAAGATTAAAACGGCTCCAGTAGCAATACTCCACATATCATCAACATCATGAGTCAACAATTCCCGCCAAGTTGTTACCATAGTTCTGGAATCAGTTAACATTGAGGATTTGTTATATTTGTGTTTCAGGATACCTTCGAAGTGCGCGGGCACTCAGAGACACAGCCTCATACGAAACTCGATGATTTCTACTTCCGTACATGTTTCCACTGATTTCATATTGGTGCAGACGGTATACATGGAATTCAGTTTCCACAACATCCCCAACTTGTTGAGACCCATGGACCTAGAATTAAAAATTATAAAAAGTTTCAAAAAAATCCTTACCACACAGACGGTCATCATCAACGTTATGTAGATGAACAACGCCGGGTTCCGGAAGAAATCTATTATATCTTCTTGCATCTAAAAATGTTTCAAGTGTATTATTCATTCTGAACAGCTGGTCTTTTAGAATCGAATTTGCTTAGAAACTAAAAAATATGAAATTTTGTTCAGAGTATTACTCTAGAGTAAGAAACAAATTTAGAAATTGGATCAAAAATAGTATTACGTTTTTTTACTGATTTTTGTGAGCCTTGAGTTTTCCGAGAGGAATTCAAATGAGCCCTTCGAGAACCGTACCCCGCTACACTGGGAACGGCGAATCGCTCCGAGACCCACATGCCCGCGAAAACCGCGACGCGCTCCGCGATTCGAAGAGGGTTTTTCTGCAGAATTATTGGGGGTACGACGAATTCGAACGTTTTCAAATTCGAACATACCTAAAATCGAACTGATTCAATCCAGAACAGTCCTTTTTTCGCACACGTACTAGAATAGAACGCGGACAGAATCGAACTGGTAAGGAGTCGAACTGTCCCGAATTGGAACGCTGCCTGCAACAGACCGCGCATGAA